TCTGATATACTGCGACGTTTTTTAAGGAACACGTCGCCATTCTTATTCTGGCCCCACATCCTGGAGGAGCAGGAAACCGTGTTCGTCGGACCTCTATCCACTGGTCACTGTGGTTGTCGAAACGGTGGGTGTCAAAGTGAAACTCCTTATTGTCGTTCAATGAACCACAGATTTACACAAACCGCTACACCATGATGAGCGAAAAAAACAGTCAGATTACAACAAAGTGCATGCTTTCGTATATTGCCTTTGAAAAGCCCTAGGCACAATTTGTTCGGGTCTCTCCTATTCTCATAAGGAAAACTACTCACAAGGTCACTGAAAATTCTTGGACTATCCACGACCCGTTACGCCATGCTTGGGATTCATCGGGTAGGCGCAGTCCCAGTTCCGTCATCCTTATGTTCCACGTGAACTCAAATTAGAGAGATCTCGGTAAGTACACTCATTTGCATATAAACTGGGTTTCCACACTCAACCCAACCGAATCTCTCGTTTTTGGTGTTCTTCAACTGAATGTGCTACACAAAGGTCGCCTCATGTTTCAGTTGATGCAGTATATATCGCAGTCTACACAAAGGTCGCCTCATGTTTCAGTTGATGCAGTATTCTAGATATCGCAGTATATTTCTATAAAGGAAGCTACTCACCAGGTTTCTACAAACTTCGATAGCCAATGATGGGTTTCATCCTTCTTAGGGCTCATCAGGTGGCACAGTCCCCGAGTCTCCGTCAACTTTATACCCTATTCTCAGCCAAACAACCCTCCTAATTATGCCAAACCTAGGCGTCAGCTCCATCCCCGCCCCATCCCATCCCGACACATACACACACACAATGGAATCTACGAGCATCAAAGTCTGTTGGTAAATGTCAAGCTGGCACGTAAACATCACGTGTGACAGCTATCTTGAGTAAGATCAGCAGTGCCGTAGGATGCCGATTATTTCGAGCGAGGTGAGATCAATTTGATGTGAGCGTTCCATCATGAAAATAATGGAAGACGATCACACCGTATGCTTGGGTAACTGGCAACTCTCGCCTTTGGAGCGGTATTTTCTTGCGTAGATTATGGCGTCTTACTGTGCTCCTTTTCTGTCGAATTTGCGCCTAACACTGGATGACATTGCACTGACACTTTTCCCCTTCACATCTGTAGGTTCGTTTGAATATTATCTCCAATCTGGAATGTGTGAATCAAATCATGGGCATCACACAGCTGAGTCAAAGTCTCCTGCCGGCAATCGTCGAATTGGCTAGCGATGCAAAATGGCGAGTCCGGTTGGCAATAATTGAGTATATGCCCCTGTTGGCGAGTCAGTTAGGACTGCAATGTTTCAACGAGCGTTTGACCAATTTGTGCCTCAACTGGCTCGTAGATGACGTATATGCGGTGCGAGAAGCGGCAGTGACCAACCTGCGCAAGTTAATGGATCAGTTTGGGATTGAATGGGCTTCTACACAAGTCATTCCTAGAGTAAGCATCTTTTTCCCCTTTTTGGACTTAGCCTTTGATTCGTCTACTTCTTCGGCTCTTTGGATGGTAATGTGAGCTTACTTTTGACGTCACTGTGCAACGTTTTCTGCAGCGATTTCATTCTTTAAATGAGCAGGTGATCCCGTCTTCACATTGTGCAAGCTGTCTTCATTGTGATCCTTCAAGTCCCTAGATAGCTCAGTTGTTATAAGGCGCGAACTTATTGGTAGGAAGGTCCGCGGTTTGAACCCACCTTAGGCATCTCGACTGCCCATGTCTAGGCCTGGGAAGTCTGGCCGTGTCTCAGCTTTTGTGCCTACTTTTAGGGGCATGGTAGCTTCCCGTAGAAAGTGTTACAGCCTGACCACTATTCTGCTCTTCACCCGAACTTTCTGCTATCCATTTTTCAGCTCATTCAATTAGCACATGATCAAAACTACCTTCGTCGCATGATTTGTCTAGCATCATTGCAAGAACTTGGTGAAGCAGAATCTTGTCGATCAGAGTTGTTGCACAAGCACTTGTTACCGACCATTATTCAGCTGGTTCATGATCCTGTGCCAAATGTGCGGTTCAAGGTAAGACCATATTCCTTTCTGTACTAGGCCCCCTTTACGGTGTTGCTCTTATCTCTGTCGATAAAAAAATATCTGCACGACATAGGTTTAAGCATGTAACCTGAAGGTCGGGTTATGGACAAATCCAAATCCGAACTCTTAATGTGCTGCAGAATGATTGGCACTGGTGGAGAGTTATTTTACAGCTTCTCAGTCTGCTGCTTGTACAGGGTTATGACGAGATTTATCGTAAGGATTTGGCCATATAGGGAACACCGTTTGCCATGCCTACATGCGACCCCGTAAACCCTATGTTACACTTGTTCAGACTTGTACACAACCCGTTGAATACAAGCAGGACTGTAGAGGAGCTTTCAAGAGGCTATACTCACTATTTATGGTAGCAACATTCCCCATCAAGAGTTTGGGTTTCTGAGTTACACCGGTGTCTGGAAAGGACCATCCATTTACTACAAATTCATTGAGGGACCTGTCAGTGAAACCATTATTGCTGTGCACCGAAGCCCTCTGCCTATCGCCTTAATGCACCATATGTAAGATCGTGAAAATTACTCGAAATAAGTGACGAAATTCCAGTAATATGATTTGCTAGCTTAGTATAGCGACAAACGAATTCCGATAAATTGCGGAATTTGTTAATGAACACTGACCTGTAGCTTCTGGTTTGAGCCTCCACTGTACTCTTGCATCACTAAGCTAAAGTTATTTTTTTTCTGCCTTATCAAAGTCTGATTCAACCGCACTTCATTGTCTTTCTTCAGGTTTGTCAGATACTCGGCAAACTTGGACACCTGCTAGACTCGAATGCCATCCAGACTTTTGTGAAACCTTCACTAGAAATGCTGGGTGCCGATGGGGATCCCGATGTATCTTATTTTGCCAAGGAGTCGTGTGAGCTGTTGCGCCTAGCCTCTCGATGAACAAGTCGACACTACTTTCTCCATCTTCACATCTCGCACAGTCCTCTCCATTCAGCCACCTTCTTCGTCTTATTAGCCGGAACCCACTGATAAATCTATTTCCCTCGCCTGTACTACACACACATGAGGTGGCTGGTCGGCGGATTCTCCATTTGTGACCAAACGCTATTCTTCTCTCATGCAGAGTTGTCTTCTCTTAAAAACTTCCCTATTTTTTCGTTAACCGGTTGTACGTGTATTTGCTTTGCACCCCGATACTTTTCGATTAATCGTGGTGTGGAGCTTATATATCTGCAGGCATGGTCTTCGCATGTTCTCGCCCTCATCTCTGTTCTCGACCCTTCCAAATTATTTCACGTCTCCTTCCGCATTACTCGGTCGGTTGTTGTATACAAAGTCAGATGCATTTCTTTTTCCGTGTCCCATGCTCAGCCTCTATGTTCATGACCAAACTTTTCCACATAGTCCTCGGTTGTCATCGTTTCCCTTTGAAGGCCTGCGCAAACTTACGATCATCTCACTTTAAACATTAACCGACTGGAGATGATCAATCATCAGTTGTGTTGCTCTAAACCTCTACAAAAACAACTCGTTTGGTCCTTTCTGTTCCTGTCGATTGACTATATTCGCTCTCACATCCTTTCACCCTTTTCGCCACTGGCAGACGCCATCTATGTGCTCGACCTACTCTCAACATTTTAGCTTTGTTGCATGCGCAAACCGTTCTAGGCTCTTCTCGAAACACGTCATGTCCAGGGTATCGGTGTTTTTCACTGTGAGTAAAGAAACGAATATTGACCCGGTCCTTCTGTTCTTGGCTGCTTTTTCTCCTAGGTTCGATGTTCCCCAACTTGTCGCACGGTTCAGCTCTTGTCCGGCTTTTTGAGTCAGCTTAAAACTTCGCTCGATTTTCATCACCAAAGCTAATCCACTACATTGGTTGCGAATACTGGAGCACATTTTATGCATCCTTGCTTCCGGTAACGATCGATAGGTAGTTAACCGATGCGTGCTGCATAGGTAATTAACACGTACATTTCAGACTCAAATCGTAATGGTCTGTCGACCAGTTCTTTCTTTCATGAGGTCTGTGTTCCATACATAATAAACGAAGTTTTGGCACACCTTTGAGTTGAATGGAGAAGCTTCCGTTTTAGCTTTAGTGTAACCTATGACCAAATAAAGTAAGGTATTCACCAATGTACAAGCCCAAACTCCAAAGTACTGCCTATGGGAGATGACAGGTTCAGTGTGAAACATGCATGCTTGTCCAAGTGAAAATGGCACAGACTGTTTCCCATCAGTGCACTATCATTGAGGTAAACTATATTTTGTTCTTGACAGACCACTTCTGCATGTCGTTTGAAGTTCGCTTCAACACACAAATCCCTCACAGAAACGACTGCTTAGTTAGTCCATTGAGGTGTTCTCCGTAGAGGGGCACAAGTGTATCACCATCAAATATAGGCTTTATGCGGATGACACGGTGATTCCCGCTGCCACAGTTTTGCCCACTGATCAATCATTGGTTAAGGAAACAGAACTGACAATTAGACGTGGTAGTTCGAAATATTGGTGTAAATGCCCGGTTGTGATAGCATATAGGTTGTGATCATGTCCTGTTGTTGGCTTTAGGGTGAATAAAACTGCCAATCTGTGCCCGGCTTCAAAAATAGCTGATCATGCTGTTGTTCTCGGATTCCGCCTCTATGAAAGGGACTATTAGCGCAATTCGGGTTTCTAGCACTGGACTTCATATTCTGGTTCAGTATGTCGGCATTGTGAGCCTGTAACTACTTAAACCTAAGACAGAAATTGATTATCCAGCGATAACTATTTTTGGCACGATTTCTGATGATAGCGACGAATCAGTGCTGAACACTGATGTGCATGATTACTGGATCACTATGCGAGTTGTCATCGTACCCGGTATTGCAGTAGAATGATGTGGATATTAAGGGATCCTGACTAGTTGCCTTGAAAACCAGGATCTTCAGAATCGAGAATCAGGCAGTGTTTACAGCTGTTGTTCAAGCCGCTAACTGTTTTATTTGAAGCGGGCGGCCGAACTTATTTTTTGAAATTTGAGGCAGTCAAAGTGAATACCATAATTCTGATATCAGAGGCTAGTTCAGAAGACAAGATCCACCTCTAGTGCTCATAATTTTTACACGTTTTTCGATGGCTTGACACACAGATGGGGAATCCCAACCGTTATTCATGAGGGTATACCACTCCAATTAGACTTCAGTAAACGCAACTTTCCATAACATCCCCGTCTTTGAGTCTTCCAGCTGCCTCATGTGCACACAGTGCTCCACCCGAAGCGTGCCCTCGAAGCCAGCCAAGATTCCGACCCTGTAGTTATCTTTCCGCACATCCTCGATGGATACCTTAGGAATGGAGACTTGTATGTAGCAGACAGTTGACTTCTTGGTTTTTGAACAGGGATCTGGTGAGGCTGAATCTGCAAGGTTTAGCCATCAGTAGTGCAAAGTTAGTCTCTCATCTAATTTCGAAGCTGTTTCCATGTACGGGTCGGAAAAAACGGCAGAATATTTGGAGGCATTGACCTCAAACTACGTGCTTGTTTCGACACACCGTAGAAGTGCCAGTCGTCGGCTGTATTCCAAGAAAGGGCACTGAAAGTTACGACGCAAGCTAAGCTAGCAGAATTTCAGGGAATGAAACAATGTCTCTTTGGGTTCCGGAAGTGCTTGTTTCACATTAGACTGAGAAGGTGTCCGATGAGGAGTGCCTGTACGTGTAGGTAACCGCTCAAAAGGCTTACTGAGACCATTTATCTTATCACGTGGAAACGACCACAGTACACATTTCTGTGGTTCAAGCACTTCGAAAGATGTCACAGCCAACACTATGAGTAAACACTTTAGCTGAATGTGAATTTGTCATTCACGATATAAAGTAAATGTGAGACCCTAGTGATACGGAAATCCCTTAATGAATGCGGGCTTGAAGAACTAGGCCAGTTTTAGAAGCTGTGCGTTGGAGTTTATTCAAGTGATTCCTTATGCCGCAGACGTTACCGGTAGCACTGATAGGATGGAAATTCGGACTCAATGTAAATTCGATTTGAAAGTAAGATATGAACCAGGCGCTAGCTTACACTGACCCGCTGTGACCATTCACCCGATATCCTGTCATCATCATCCTGTGTATCTCCAACAAAGAACACCCTATCTATCAATCGAGAATGTTAGTTCCCTATTCCGCTTTTTTGTAACTTGATTTGCGTTTTACTTCAAGCAAATCTGTAGAAACGTATCCATTTACCACTTCTGCCGATATCCACCCAAGTTCCGAAATTTTTTAAAAATTAGTTTCAAAAGTTCGGTCCCAAAAAGTGTATCCAAGGAGAATGCGATTTCAGCCGACTCTGGAGATGTGATGCTGAAGTGATGTGTCATAATCCACTTAACTGAATGCATTAGCATTCTCAGATGAACGTGAATCCGAAAAACATAAAGCAGCACACGAGTAAGGTTAAATATTAGTTCGCTGATAGGTGGGTGGCCTGAAGTGCGTTGCCTTTGGCATTGTAATCATCAATACTCGAAGCGCTGGAGGTATTGGTTCGTTCTGGGATGGGCAGAATATTCGGACGAGTGGTGGACAACAAGAGTAACGAAAACTAATAGTACCAGTCGACAGTACTAACGTCCAGACTGGCTTTTACCAATGCCAGTACGACCTATAGCTGAGACGAAAGACGAGGAACTGTTGCACACAGGCGATAACGACTTCATTGTGGTAGGCGATATTTCCAGAACACTTGGTCTTTCGGTCGTGATAATTCCCATAGTTTTGACCTCACGTTTCCTTCTTCATTCACAAGAAAAGCTGCTTGAGATGAGTTCTTGCGTCGCACGATTAGAAAGCATTTATTTGCTGATCCTACCGATTTCTCTCTACGCCATATCTCTCGCTAATTGTAGAAAGCGCAGTCGCCTACGGATATTCTCCACTCATTGCAATATATCCAATTGTTCGAAATAAAGTGTAATGATTGGCACACACTCTCGTGACGCGTCGTCACGAGTTTATCTGACTGGTGAATCAATAGCTGTGTATCCTTTCTTCACGTGATGTTGCTATTTGTTACATACCGAGAACAATTTACCAGCTATATGGAGTTTATATGGCTTGATGCAGTAATGAGCTGGTTCGTTGCACATCACCAGTGTTAGCCGCCTCTGACCGACAATGTGAGAGGATGCATATTATTGCTCTTGTGCCAATATAGTGGATTTCAGCGGATTTCGAGCCTAGTACGCTCATGTCTGTCAAGAGTAACATTTGTCACAACGGGAAAATGATACTTTTGGGATCTGGCACTTTTGGAGGTTAACCGTTACATCTGATCGAACAAAGGGCTAGTGAGTAATACGGTTGCACTCCCAATTTTCGAATTCATTTTGGTGATTAGGACAAGATATTTTAGTGTCCACTCTGAGATGGGATCCATGGATAAAAGGGCCACTGTGGTTTCTGATTACAAAGTTGGCGAAGATACCCAATGAGACGAGGGTTAACAGTCTCCCTCCAGCAACCTGTGGAATACAGCACTGGACCAGCAAATCCAGTTACTTAGTCAGATGTATTAACAAGTCCCAAGATGAATATGCGGTGCGCATACAAAATTTTCAGCCAAGGAGCACAAAGCGCTATTAGTTGGAGTAGATTTGATTTAACCATCTTGAATCATCTGAGATCATTATCTCAGTTACTCTATATCTAGAAATGTCAACATTATGGTTGGTGAAAACGAAAAGCTTACTGAAGTAGCCGTGTAATTACTTTTCCTGGGTTCTTAACGTCTAAAACAGTGCGTGGCAAGAAATGTTTCTGTGATCAACGCATGAACACACTAGGCTTTGCTTCCAAATGCAAGCCTCAGAATAGTAAATTTTGCAGCCGAGCCCTGATCGCCAGTACACCCACACTGTATTATGAGATCGAGAATATTCGGAATAATAACA